GACGCGGTCTAACCCCTCACCGCGCTGGGGTGCTCTCCTCCACTCGGAGGGGTCGTCGGGCTGCCCCTGGATCGTGGTGATCGGGTCGTGGTGCCCTGGGGGCCGTACCCCCACTATCTCCTGTCCATCGTGACGCCGCCCTTCGACCCTTTGTTCTCCTTCGCCTCGAGGGAGCCCTTGATAGTCGATACGGCCTAACCCCTCGCCGTGCTGGGGTGCAGCGTCGTCGTCCTCCTCGTATAGCTCGAGCTCGATGTAGTCGCCAGCCGCGGCCCTGGCTAACCTGCTCGAGCACGCCAGTGCATGTTCCCATCGGCCTAACCCCTCGCCGCGCCGGGGACCATCGTGGCCTAACCCCTCGCCACGCAGGGGAACATTGTGGCCTAACCCCTCACCACGCGGGGGTAAAACGCGGTCTAACCCCTCACCGCGCTGGGGTTGGTGGCCTAACCCCTCGCCACGCAGGGGGTGCCTACGGTCTAACCCCTCACCGTGCTGGGGATCGCCTGCCCTCGCAGTCTCGCCCTGCGAGGGTCGGCTGCGGTCTAACCCCTCACCGCGCTGGGGGTTGATGTACTGCTTTCCGTATGTCTCCCTGTCGTTAACGCGGTCTAACCCCTCACCGCGCTGGGGTACTTTGCTCCACTTGTAGCGGTCGTCGGGCTGTCCCTGGCTCATGGGGATCGGGTCGAGGTGCTCCTGGGGCCGTGCTCCCGCTATCTCCTGTCCATCATGACGCCGCTCTTCAACCCTTTGTTCTCCTTCGCCTCGAAAGGTACCTTCATCGTCGATACGGCCTAACCCCTCGCCGTGCTGGGGTACCGTGTCATCGTCCTCCTCGTAGAGCTCGAGCTCGATGTAATCGCCTGCCGCGGCCCTGGCTAACCTGTTCGAGCACGCCAGTGTATGTTCCCAACGGCCTAACCCCTCGCCGTGCTGGGGAGCGTCGTGGCCTAACCCCTCGCCACGCCGGGGTCCCCCGCCCGCTGGGCTTGATGCTGCCTCCGATGCGCTTGTCGCCGTGGAAGGTCCGCACGTCCTTCTTGTAGGTGACGTGGCGCCCGTACTCCCAGCAGTCGCCCGCTCAAGCCTGCAGCACCAGCTGCCGCGACTGAGGCTAGCTTCCACGGGGTCTCCTGCTTGATGATCGTCATCTGCCTCAGGCCGTCGTGGGGGTGGCGGCCTTTGCCCGTCTGGCGCCCGATCTCCTAACGCCCTGCGGAACATGTCTCGTAGCCGTGCCAGTTCACGCCGATGCCGATGGGCCAATCTGCGATACTCTTCGGGTTCTGTCTCTGGCGCGTGGAGGCGTTCGTAGAACTCGTCCCTTCTCGCCGTTGTTTGTCTCCACGCACTCCCGCACTGCTGCTCGATGATCTGCTGCATCGTCTGCCCTGGGAACCAGCGCCTCAATGCGCGGCACAGGGGGTGATTGTTGTCGTCGGTGAGCATCTGCGTGAGCATCGCTACGCACCACTCCTGCCAGCTGTCGCTGTCTCTGGCCAAGCACGTAAGATCGTCGTACCACAGTGTTGCCCATTCTCTAAGATCAGCACGCATGTCGGCATAATCTTGCGGCCCCGTATCCTCAACGATCGGCGGTAGCCCCATCGCGCCTGGATTCTGATCCAATACTCCATCGCTGTAGTCCATCCTGCAATCGTCGTCGTGGTAATGCCTGACCAGTACGTTCTGACTCCCCCCACGGTCGGTACTTTCAGCACTCGTGGCCAAAGGGGCTGCGTGCTTCCAGTGCGTGCCGTGGGGGGCAGCTTCCGATCCAGCTGCATGACGACGATCTGCACGGTCTAACCCCTCACCGTGCTGGGGTGTAAAGTGGCCTAACCCCTCGCCACGCTGGGACACGCCTCGGTTTGACTCCTCCCCGCGCAGGGGCGCTTCGCTGAAGAAGTGGTCGATGTCCCTCTGCACCTCGGGGTCGTCGTAATCCTCCACCTCCTGTGACCTCGGCTCAGGCATGGGCTCGCACTCGCTATCTGTTGGATGCACCGCTGCTGGTCGAATACTTGCCACTGTTGTCTTTCTCGTCATCCGTCTCGGTCGGGGTGTAGGGTGCGGTGCTGGAGGGGGCGCATTCCCAACCAAAGGGCCGCTGTACTCATGCGGCGCTAGCCGCTCTTGGTCAAGCAGCTCGCGCACCTGCCTAGCAATTTGAGCCTCCTGTGCAGCTCGCGGTGGTTCTTTCCTGTAGCCAGGGTAGCGTCCGTCCCGAATCTTGTTGAGCGCATCCTGCCCGTACTTGGTGATCGTCTCGCTGCACTGCTCGCGTAGCCTTTTACCGATGGTCGTTCCATGTGCTGCGCACCGTGCGCAGAATAGCAGTCCGTACCGCACCCATTCGTTGACCACGTGGCTGCCATGTATCTTGCCATTGCCCATGAACCTGTCACCCTTTACCTCGACTATCTCGTTGGCCGTGCTGTATGTAGCGTTGCATGCCGTGCTGGCAAACTCCTGGAGGGCGTCCGCTGCGATGTACTGTCTGCAGGCTGTGCAAAACCACTTATTCTTGAGCCTGACCATATCGTGCTGCTTCATCTTGTCGACGACTTCCTTTACTCGGTCCCTCTTGGCCTTGGCCTTGGCTGTGGTGGGCCTCTCAGCGCACCAAGGGTCAATGTTCGCCGTGTCCTCCAAGGCCTGCCTCGCTCGTAATCGTACATGAGCACAGATCGCATCCCATTCATCTGTACGTGGTATTGGCGTGGACACTCTTTCCCAAGAAGCTTCTGCCGCAACCGTAGCTAGTGCGTCTGCAAAACTGTTGCCCATCGCAAAAATCGGGTTGACTAGCTCGACCTCGTCCTCGTCCTGGTGCGACGGGGTCCACTCCACTTCGATGTGTCTGGGGGACGTGTCCATCACCGCCCTCTTGATGCGTGCCCATAAATCCGCGTTCTTCCCTCGCCCAGGGTCTTGAGCTCTGCCTTTTGTCCAAGCTGTGAGGAGCGGGTAGTGGTCCGTGACGTACACGATGTCTCCTCTCGTTTCCTCTATGGCAATCGCGAAGGCCGTGATCTCTGCCCGCGGTACGGTTTGACGCCGTCCTGGTAGGTCTGCCATCGTGCCTGCTGACATACTCCACTTGCCGTCGATCATCTTCATGGTCGCCACTCCGATGCCTACCCGTCTCCTGCGGGGGTCGCCACCGTAGCAACCGCCTGAGCCATCACCAAATAGATAGAGGCTGCGTCCTGGCACTCGAGCTTCTTCGTGATCGCCGGACCTGACGTAGTCCTGCCTGTCGATGTCATTGACCACTGGGTGAGTGAGCTCTCTGGGCGGTATACCTCGGAGCCATAGGGTCGGGTTTGCCTCGACGCCAGCGAGCGCCTTTGGCACCAAGTAGTCCGTCTTCTCATAGTTTTCGTGTCCTGTGTTGGCCGTACAGGTGTAGATGCGGTGGAAGATGGTCTCGGGCTCTTGCTTGCACCTCTCGCAGATGTTCGTGTCGCACTCGTAGCCAGCCTGAATCTGTCGTTGCCGAGTCCATTGCCCACCCGTAACCACCACGTTATTGAGTGCCCAATCTTGCCATTCCGCCCGCTGGCTGTATCTTTGTTGCTCCTTACTTATGTGCCATATGTCTCCTCCTCGTTGCAAATCGTCCCCGTGCAAATGCGTAGCTGCTTGTGCCCACCTCGCCATTTCCAGGTCGTGCTCCAGATCCTCCAGCAGGTGTGTGTACTCAATAGCATCAATGTCGCACTTGCCATCGTCGTCTATGAAGGGGAGCTGCCATTGCTCGTCACCTTGTGGTGTCGGTCGCTTCCATAGTGCCGCCTGTATCGGCTTCCACCCCGCCGCCATTAGAGTAGCCTGCACCGCTGCCACTGGGCCGTGTACCTTGCGCCACAGCTGCGTGCCTGCCCTGATCAACTTACGGTAGGTCGGTCCCCATGCTTGTCGTACTCGTCGATGAATTTCTGGGTGAAGAAGCCATTGGTGTAGCCATTCGCTGACAAGTTGCCGTCGCAGGCTGATGCCTGGGTCCTTCAAGTGATACAGCACAGCCATGCCAGTGGATAAGCACCTTCCTGGTCCTGTGCCAGCCGCCGACTTCATGGCCATACGTCGTAACTGTAATATTCGGCTGGGTGCGATTCCCCAGACCTCGTGCCCATAAGTCTCCTGGGGTGAGACGCCTGTGGTGCAGAGGCCCTTGGTAATCCTTGCCACACGCGTCGCCATCCTTCGCAACCTGAAAATCTTGCCCGCTCGCTGCTTGGCCTTTCGCTGGCGTGCCCGAGCCTTCTTCTGTGTGCGCTTGCCCATGCCACTGACGTCGGTGCCCAAGTCCACCATGTCACTTTGTTGCTTACCAGGGAGTCCTCGCCGTTGTAGTCTGCGCCATATTCGTCTTCGGAGCTTGGGATTGGATGCAACGAGCACCGTCTTGGGCGAGATGATGAGGCTGCGCTTCTCAGCCTGGATGATGAACTCATCGACCAACTCCACCATCTGCTGCTCCACCGTCTCCTCGGTACCTTCGACCCTTCCAACCGTGTCGTCCACGTATGTCCATAGCCCCGCTGCCTGGACTCGCTTCTGGGCTGCGTCCAAGAGAGGGAACAGGTACACCTTGGCGAATCTAGTCCCTTGGGCTGAGCCCGCCACGATCGAACATGACGGGTCGATCCTGGGTCCGATCCACTCCGTGTGCTTGAGGTGCCGTGGACCCAGGAACGCTTCGACCTCCATCGCCATAATTGTCGGTGAGAAATCCAGCTCGATCCCCGTGTCTATGAGCCATCCCAAGTCTAACGAATCGTAGAACTGCTCCATATCCGCGAACAACTCCGCATGCGCAATACCCATGGAATGGCCCGTCTCGTCGAGGGTAGCTCGCAGCAAAGCCGCACGTAACGCCGAGGAACCACGCAACGCCGTATCCCAGTGGTCCTCCAAGTGCTGCGTCCACGACTCGACCACTCCTGACCGCATCCGTGACCATATACGAATCGTCATAGGTAAAAGCCCTAAGACTCGATCTCCTCCAGCTGGTTTGCCCGCGATCGCGCCGATGGTGCCCAGGACTTGTGGGGGCCACATCAGATGCTCTTCGGCTTGCGCGATGATATCCAAAAAACCGTACTTGGCCTGGTCTGGGAGCCTCTCGATGTCCAAGGGGCCTATCGCATCGATACCTCGTGCCTTCTTGACCCCCATGCGGTGGGTGGCAGCGTTGAGGTCCTGGATCGTGAGCTGCGGGAGGTCCTCTTGGGCCGCCGAGAGACGGCAACGTCGAAGAGCGCCTGCAAGTGCTGTCTGTCTATGCGGGGCGGCCGTCCACTTCTTGGCCCAACTCTCGCTCTTGTGGTTCATGATGAGGATGGGATCGGCCACGATCTTGCCTGAGATCATCTCCTCGAGCCGCGGCTGCTGCGCGTCCTTCGTCCATCTGTGCAGGGCTCCAGGGGTCTTCTTCCACATATCCTGCGCCCACCTGATGAAGCCCTTTGTGCCATCTGCCAGAGCTCTCCGCGCTGCTTGTCCAGCCAATCTCTCGGTGATCTCTATCACATCCTCTCTCTCCTGACGTGCTGGGCTGAAGATGTCGTGTGCGCTCTGCTGCCACTGGTTGAGCAGCTCGATATCGCTGTGCTTGCTGACCACATGTACCTGCTGCATCCGCTGTCGAAACTCTTGCCCTCGTTGTTGCAGCTGTTGTGGGTCTTTGTTGTTCTTCACCAGGCCATTGATCGCGATCACCTGCGTGTGCGTGATGGCCCACCACTCAGCCTCTGAATTGTACAGATGCGGTCTGCCTGGCGCTGCTGTGCTCTTTGTCCACTTGATGCCGAAACCCTGCGCCCTTCCTCTATAGCCGTCTCGTTGGTGTTGGGGTACCTCTGAGTGCTGCAAAACTGCCTCCTCCACGGCCTCGATCCACCTGCCGTAGCTGTTCGCCAACTTCTGTGCCAGCAGTGGCCGATCGCGATAGGCCTGAGGCCGCCAACGGTCCCTTCTGAGTTGAATATCTGGTGGGTTGCCAGAGAATCCCAATTTGGCATCTTCCCACGTAACGCAACTGATATGGAAGCCGATGGACGGTGAGTCCGCGCTCGGAGTCTGCGTTGTCGGGGATGTGTACGTAGTCGTTGTGCCTGGCTCGTGCTCGAGGAGATCAAAACCATGTCGAAGTACAGGTTCCAGCTCTTCGCGTCTCTGTTGGCGTCGTGCCTGCTGCTTACTCCGTTTGCTGTCCAGGTCCTTCTGCTTCTTCGGCCTCGGCACCGTGGGCAACGCTTTGGGAATGTCCAGCGTGCGGTGCCACCATCGCTGCTTCTTGCCAGCCAGCCTGATGCGAAGCCCACAATGCGTCGCCCATGGTACCGTCAGTTCTTTGGTAATGGTAAGCCCTTCCTTGCAGCCCGCGGCGACGACGCCGTAGTCGTAGAGAGAGCCCTTGCCTTTGTCGCATGTGACCTCCTCTGGGCCCGTGACGATCTCGCCTCGCATCTGTTCTAACCAACCAGATGCGAGCAGCTCAGTAGGGACGCAGTTCCAATCCGCCACGACGAGCCATGGGTCCTTCAACAAGCGCACAAAGGCCGTGAGGGCTGCCATGACCTTACGGTTCCTGCCCGTGAAACGCAGGGTCGGTAGTAGGTAGGCCGCGATGATGATGAAATTGCCGATGCTGAGGTGCAGCACCATGGGGGAGAAACCGACGAAGGCCGTGTCTCCTTGCTTGTCGTGCTTGCCCTTCCAGTGCTCCAGGGACGTGGACTGTATGTGCGCGCGCGTGGCGACGAGTTCACCCGCGGACCATCCTTTCTTCGACTTGCCACTGGGGACTGCGGGGGTGATTGTCGCCTTCCATCCTTCTTTCTGCAGGAACGTCTTCATGGCTGAGACTTGGTTTGGCCCCTTGTGCGTTTCCACAAACGCCAGGCAATCGAACTGCTGCACCGCTGGGCCTTGCACGTAGTTCTGTACCTGTGGGCCCCACTCCGTGATGTTGCCGAACAGGACCTGGGACTCCTCGCTCTGCTGCTGGGTGGAGTGCGCCTCGCTAAAGCCCAGACTGCTCAGCACCGACAGCCAGACCGTCAGTTTGCGCATGAGCTTCGCGAGCCTTGCGCCTCTCAGCCCGAGCCTGCTCCAAGGCTGCTTGATTGGCGTCCCTGATCTTCTTCTTCTCGTCCTCAGGGTTGATGGCTGTCGCACCTGTGCCGTTGCTTGCGGTCGCTGGCGATGCTGTGGTGGGTGCCTCAGACGCAGGGGGTTCCTCTTCCACTGCCTCCGCCTTGGGTCCTTCTGTACCCGCTTCGACCTTACGCTTCTTTTTGGGGGCCTGCATTGCCTTCTTTGCCTTCTGGTGGATCTCCTCGATGTACTTGAACTTCGCCTGCAGGGTGCCCAGCTGCTCCTTCTGGAACTGCTCCAGCTCGCTCTTCCACTGCATGATGCTGTCCATCTCCTCGGTCGGTATGTCGCACTCCTCGAGGCCCTCGAAGAGTGAGCCGTCGCACTCGAACTTGACGTTGAGGGTCTTCTCATCGGGTTTGACCACGATGATGCCCGACTCCTGGTTGGCCTGCTGGAGTGCTGTGAGATGCCGCTGCTGCACCTCGACCCTCTGCTGGGCCAACTTGTCCATCTTCTCGAGCTGGTCGTCCAGGTACAGCTGCGCGCCCGTGAGCTTCGTCCGCTGCTTCTCAATGCGAATGTCCAGCTCCTTGAGCGCGCGATTGGCGTCCGCCAGCAGCTGGGCGCCCGTGCGCTGCTTGGGTGGAGCTGGCGCAGGTTTGGCGTTGGCCTCCTCCTCTTGGGCTTTGCGACGCAACAAGTCCAAGGCGGCCGTGATGGTGGGGTCGCCCTTCTCGCCGACGCCCTGGTACGCAGCCAAACTCGTGATGAGGGAGGCCGTGGAGATCGGGTCGGACTGTCCGCCATCGCCCTTCTGCACCTCCACGGAGTCCCAGCCAGCCTTGGTGCTTGCGTACGTGGAGTGCCGCCAAGGTGCCCACTTCTTCCACAATCGTCCCGAGCGTGGCCAACCCGCAGAATGAGGTCCATTCTGTGCCCAAACTCCAGACGGTGGCGGTGGGACGCCGACGGCGGGGCGGAGCTTCGCCTTGCACTTGAAGCACTCGACTTTGCTGCTCCAGTTCCACTTGTAGCCGCACGCCTTGCACCCAATATACCCCGCTGCGTTGCCAACATCTCCCATGCCACGGGTCGCTGTGCAACAGGAGTGCTCACCTGCGGGCTGCAGGCGGCACGCAGAGTCCTGGGGCGGACCAGGCTCTGCGGAACGGACAGGGTATGCCGCGGACTAGCGGTATCCAGTTTCGCCGATGCGGGCTCCGCCCGCAGAAGCATCAGCCTTGAGCCAAAATGGCTACGGAGGAGGAGGAGGAGGAGGAGGAGGAGGAGGAAGAGGAGGAGGAGGAGGAGGAGGAAGAGGAGTGCTCCCAGCGGGATGAGCGCCGCCACACCTGCGAGCGTCGATGCCACCTGCACGCGACCGTTCCGCGCAAGGGCGGCAGGCCCAAGCGGCCCCGAGGTGCGCCGAGCCCACGCCTCGGCGCGGCCCTTACCGGGGCGTGCGTAAAAAACGACCATCCGTCGATATGATGAGGTAGTGGCGTTCTGCATTAGAAGTAATGATCGTGCGTGTCGTACGAAACGTGTGAGGGGTGTGCCGCGAAACGGGCGCGGGGCCAGAATACGCTCAAACAGGTTCCTCCTGGAACGGCGGAGTGTCCATTATCTTCGCCCGCGCGTGAGGCCACATTCTCAGTCCCATGAGATTCGCCCGCACGTGGGGCCACATTTTCGCAGTCATCTGTTACAGCCCAAAAATCGTGTTCGCCCTTCCCCCCCCCCCCCCCATGGAGCAAAGCTGGGTGGAGGCGGAAGCGCCGACCTGCCCGGCCCACGAGTCAGCTTTGCACTTCGGGGGGGAGGGGGGGGAGGGAAAGAGGGAGGGAGGGAGGGAGGGAAGGTGGAGGAGGCAGGAGGAGGAGGGGAGGAGGAGGAGGAGGAGGACGACGACAACGACGAGGAGGAGGACGAGGAGGGAGGAACAGCTTTGCACTTCGGGGGGGAGGGGGGGGAGGGAAAGGGGGAGGGAAGGGGGAGGGAAGGGGGGAGGGAGGCAGTGGGGGAGGAGGGGGGAGGAAGAGGAGGGTGAAGGGGAGGAGGAATGAGGAATGAGGAATGAGGAATGAGGAATGAGGAATCAGGAGGAGGAGGACGAAGAGGAGGAGGAGGAGGAGAAGGAGGAGGAGGAGGAGAAAGGAGGAACAACTCTGCACTTCGGAGGGGAAGGGGGGGAAGGGAAGGAAGGAGGAAGGGAGGGAGGAGGGAGGAAAAGGAGGAATGAGGAGGATGGAGGAGGAGGAGGGGCGACGAGGAGAAGGAACGAGGATGATTTTGAAATGGAGTGCGAAGGAGTGCCTCTGGGGAGTATCTCCAGAGGCTTTCGGGCGGAGTGCGGACGACTGCGGAGGATTTCAAATTCGAGCGGAGGCCTCTGGGGAGCACCTCCAGAGGCCTCCAGGAGGAGTGCGGACGAATGCGGAGGATTTCAAATTCAAGCGGAGGCCTCTGGGGAGTGCCTCCAGAGGTTTCCGGGCGGAGTGCGGACGAATGCGGAGGATGTCAAATTCCAGCGGAAGCCTCTGGACTGCCTCCCAGAGGCTTCCGGGGGGAGTGCGGACGAGTGCGGAGGATATCAAATTCGAGCGGTGGCGTCTGGGGACTAGTGCTGGAGGCCTCCGGCGGGAGGATTGCGGACGAGTGCGGACGATTTTGAATTGGAGGCTGGAGGATGGGAGGGTGGGGCGGCGGGCGAGGGAGGGGGGAGGGATAGGCCCGGCGACAAAGAAGCGACCACATCTTCTTTGCGAGACCTTGCGTGCAGAGGCTGTGATATGATTCGGGCAGGCCCAGTGAGGCAGACATGAAAGCATCTCCCTGGCGAAAACGTGCGTGCAGAGGCTGTGATATGTTTTGCCAGCCGCGGTGAGGGAGACTTCAAACCATCTTCCTTGCCAAAATGTGCGTGCAAAGGCTGTGATGCGATGTTGGCATGTGAATCGAACGATGTCGTGCGTGCGATTGCTGTGCGATGATCTGGTTGTGATGTGGAGGCAACTGTGAACCGAACGATGTCGTGCGTGCGATGGCTGTGCGATGATCTGGTTGTCATGTGGAGGCAACTGTGAACCGTCTGGCGCGCTCCGCGTGCCACGGTCGTTTATTTCGCACACAGCGGTATGGAGTTCCTCCTCCTCCTCCTCCTCCTCCTCCTCCTTCTCCTCCTCCTCCTCCTCTCCTCCTCCTCCTCCTCCTCCTTCCTCCTCCTCCTCCTCCTCCCCCTCCTCCTCCTCCTCCTCTCCTCCTCCTCCTCCTCCTCCTCCTCCTCCTCCTCCTCCTCCTCCTCCTCCTCCTCCTCCTCCTCCTCCTCCCCTCCTCCCCCTCCTCCTCCTCCTCCTCCTCCTCCTCCTCCTCCCTCCTCCTCTCCTCCTCCTCCCCTCCTCCCCTCCTCCTCCTCCCTCCTCCTCCCTCCTCCTCCTCCCCCTCCTCCCCCTCCTCCCCCTCCTCCCCCTCCTCCGTATGACGGCACAGTGGAGCTCTGTGGCACCGCATGGGACCCTCCCATACCATAGTGCTGGCCCGTGCAAATCTACGCTAGTCGTCGCTAAATACGCAAACGCGAATCGACGCTAGATCTGCGCTTGCTCATCGATGACCAGAGGCTAGCGCACGCTAAGGCACTCTAAAGGCGATAGCACGAGGACGGACAGGGCTCCCGCGATTCGCTACCGAGGGGATGTATGAAGGAGCAGAGGAGCGAGGAGGGATGACGTGGGGCGGCCAGGCCGCTCGGATCGTCAGATCGTGCCTGCTTAAGCTTCGACCCTGCCTGCCTCTCCTCCTCCTGAGCGCGGGTGGGCGTGGTGGGGTCCGGTCCTGAGCACGGGCAGGAGCTCCTCCTCCACGAGGCGGTTCAGGGGGTTGTAGAGGCCCTGGCACCGGGGAGGGCGGGAGGAGGCCCAGACATCTTTCGTCACAAGAGTACGCACAAAACAAAGAGATGGCTCTCTTTTTCAGTGCTGGTGCGTTGCCCCTGGAGGCGGAGTGTTTGGGACCACGAGCCGCGATCCCATGGATGCGCGATCCCGTGGACGAGCAATCAGCCCTGTGAGGCCACCCCATGGGGCCCAAGAAGGCCAAATTCATGCTCGTACCACTCGTCCACCTCTGGGTTTCTCCGGGCCGTAGTTTGCTGTGGCCTCAGGGATCCCTTCGGCACGGTGGGGCCGACCACAGGAAGCTCTCGGCGAGACACAGCAGGGCCCGACAACAGACGAGACGCCTCCAAGAGACGCCGAAAACCTCCAGGAACCTTCCCCGAGGCCGCGGCCCTCTGCGCACCCCCACCCCGCTCTGCGGCCACCACCACCACCCCCGCAGGGTCCGCTGGGAGCGGGGCGGATCTGGCCTCCCCATTCCTTCCTCTCCACCCTCGAGGGCGTCCGGCCCCCCCCTCTCCGGGAGGAGGCAAGGCCCGCTCGAGCCCGATCCCTGGATCCCCTGGGTTTTCCAAGCCGCCCCCGGCCAGCGGCGTTGAGAGCCTCCGACGGTCCAGAAGAAGAGAGCGATGGAGGGGAGGGAGGGAGGGAGGGGAGGAGGAACGAAGGTACGAAGGAGGGAGGGAGGGGGGCAGGGAGGGGAGGAGGAACGAAGGACCGAAAGGGAGGAGACCCACGGCACGAGCCCGAAACCCTGGCGGCCATGTGGCCATGATGGAGGTCCCTGCGGGGCAAGTCTTCCTTGGGCCGCCCTCCTCCTTCTGGTGCCGGGTTCTCGCCCGCGTGTCTCTGGCAAGCTCCCTCGGCCACTTGCGCGCGCTCTGCCAGCGGGACTCCGGGAGCAGACCGAGCACGAGCAGGAGGGGACGCTCCCGGGGGTGGAACAAAAGCATGGAGAAATGATTCACTGCGTGGAGCTCCCAATCTGTGCATATATTAGCATGGATCTGTCCGCCGTGAGTGTCTAGGCTTCGAATATAAACGGGCTTGAGCATTGACGGTTTGGGAATGAATCCAAGTGTGTATGACTTGGAGTGTGAATGAGTCTCAATAATACGAGCGCGTCTCTGCACGTGAGCCTGGGGCCTCCTGGGGCCTCCTGAAACCTCCCGGGGTTTCCTGGGGCCTCCTGTAGCCTCTTGGGGCCTCCTGGTGCCTCTTGAGGCTTCCTGTGGCCTCCTGAGGCCTCCTGGGGCCTCGTGTGGCCTCCTGGGGCCTCCTGGAGCCTCCTGGAGCCTCTTAGAGACTCCTGGGGAGGATGCGTGCCCAAGGAGAAGCCCATCCATAAAAACAAAATACAGAACACTGCGGATAGGAGCCACAAGGGAAGGGCAATCTATAGGAGCACGAATAAAACATTAAGGACTCGTGCCCCAAAGGAGGCCCAATATGTAGGAACATACGTAAAACATCTTAGGATTAGACACATATGAAAAGGACAGTGTATACAAACAGGGGTAAAACACTGCAAAAACGTGCTCCGAGGGAGGTCCAATCTATAGGAGCATACATGAATCACATTGGATTGGCGCAACTCCTGTGGCCTTCTGCGGCCTCCTCTTCCTGGGGCCTCCTGGGGCCTCCTGGCGCTTCCTGTGGCCTCCTGGTGCCTCCTGGCGTTTCCTGTGGCCTCGTGTGGCCTCCTGGGGCCTCCTGGGGCCTCCTGGTGCCTCCTGGAGCTTCCTGGGGCTTCCTGGGGCCGCCTGGAGCCTGCTGTGGCATCCTGGGGAGGATCTGTGCCCACGAGTCTGGCCACTAAACAAACCGATCAAGATATCCTCAAAATCTGGCCCCCCTTGGTGGCGAAAATCAGCGCTGCGCTCGGGACGTGTTCCAAATCTGCTACGAAAGCAAAAGATGCTGGGCCACAAAACAAGCAAACCGCTCGAGCCAGCCGCACCATTCTGACGCGAACGGAGGAGTGCAATACCCCCTGCTGGCTCCCCCTTTGGGGTGCTGAAACTCGCGCCTCGCTCGAGACATCCTCAGAATTAGCTCCGCCATCATCATCATCATCATCATCATCATCATCATCATCATCATCATCATCATCATCATCATCATCATCATCATCATCATCATCATAATCACCATCACCATCACCATCACCATTACCATTACCATTACCATTACCATCATCATCATCATCATCATCATCATCATCAGCAGCAGCAGCAGCAGCATCAGCATCAGCATCAGCATCTGCATCAGCATCATCATCATCAGCATCAGCATCAGCATCATCATCATCATCATCATCATCATCATCATCGTAATCATAAGAATCATCAGCATCACCAGCATCATCATCATCACCATCATCATCACCATCATCACCATCATCATCACCAGTAGCATCAACATCATCAGCAGCATCACCATCATCACAACCCATCACAACATATGCAAATATTCGCATGAACCTGTCCGCCGTGAGCGTCTAGGCGCACGAGTTTTCGAATATAAGCGGGCGTGAGTATTGATGGTCTGGGAGTGAATCTAAGTGTGAACGACTTGGAGTGTGAATGAGTCTCAGTCGTACGAGCGCGTCTCTGCGCATGAGCCTGGGGCCTCCTGGGCCCTCCTGAAACCTCCTGGTGCTTCCTGGAGCCTCCTGGAGCCTCTTGGGGCCTCCTGGGGCCTCTTGGGGCTTCCTGTGGCCTCCTGGTGCCTCCTGGGGCATCGTGTGGCCTCCTGGGGCCTGCTGGAGCCTCCTGGAGGTTCCTGGGGCCTCCTGAGGAGGATTCGTGTCCCAAGAGAGGCCCAATACATAGGAACAGACGTAGACAGAACACTGCGGATTGGAACCACCAATATATAGGAACACACGTGAAACACCAAGGACCCGTGTCAAAGGGGAGGCTCAATCTGTAGGAACATGCGTAACACACGCAAGATTGGGTACACAAGAGAAGGACAATGTATAGAAACATACGTAAAACACTGAAACTACGTACTCCGAGGGAGGCCAAATCTACAGGAGCATGCGTAAATCACATGGGATTGGCGCAACTCCTGTGGCCTGCGGCCTCCGGTTCTTGGGGCCTCCTGGGGCCTCATGGCGCTTCCTGTGGCCTCCTGTTGCCTCCTGGGGCCTCCTGTGGCCTCCTGGAACGTCCTGGAGCCTCCTGGAGCTTCTCGGGGCCTCCTGGAGCCTCGTGGGGACTCTTGAGCATCCCTGTGGCATCCTGATACCTTCTGGTACTTCCTGAGTCTTCCTGGAGCCTCCTGGAGCCTGCTGGATCCTTCTGTGGCATCCTGGGGAGGATCTGTGCCCACGAGTCTGACCACCAAAACAAGCACACAGATCGAGACATCTTCACAATCTAGCCCCATTGGGGGCGATCATCAGCGCCTCGCTCGAGACATCATCAACATCTGCTCGGAAAGCGGAGGATGGTGGGCCACAAAACAAGCAAACCGCTCGGTACAGCCCCGCCATTTTGGCGCGAACGGAGGAGTGCAATACCCCCGGCGCCCGCCCCCTTGGGGATGCTGAAGCCCGCGCCTCGCTCGAGACATCCTCAGGATGTGTGCCGCCATCATCATCTGTATCATCATCATCATCATCATCATCATCATCATCATCATCATCATCATCATCATCATCATCATCATCAGCAACATCACCATCATCATCATCATCACCATCAGCATCATCATAATCCTCATCATCATCATCATCATCAGCAGCAGCATCATCATCGTCATCATCGTCATCATCATAGTCATCATGATCATCACCATCACCATCACCATCACCATCATCATCATCATCATCTTCATGATTATCACCAACACCACTATCATCGTCAGCATCACCACCATCATCATCACCATGCCATCATATATAATAGCACAGCATCGCATACCACAACATAACGTTCACATCGCATAACGTAAGTATCCACTGCGTGGAACTCCCCGTATGTGCGTCTATTAGCATGGGCCTGTCCGCCGTAAGTGTCTAAGCGCCAGAGTTTCCGAATATAAACAGACGTGAGTTTTGACGGTCTGGGAGTGTTTCTAACTGTGAGCGAATTGGAATGTGAATGAGTCTCAATAGATTAGTGCGCCTCTGCGCATGAGCCTGGGGCCTTCTGGGACCCCTTGAAACCTCCTGGGGCTTTCTGGGGCCTCCTGGAACCTCTTGGGGCCTCCTGGGGTCTCTTGGGGCGTCCTGTGGCCTCCTGGGGCATTGTGTGGCCTCGTGTGGCCTCCAGGAGCATCGTGGAGCCTCCTGGGGCCTCCTGAGGAGGATTCGTGCCCCAGGAGAGGCCCAATCTATAGGAACATAGTTAAAACACTGCGGATAGGAGTCACAGGAGAGGGGCACTATATATAAGAACGCAATTGGACCACTAAGGACTCGTGCCCCAAGGTAGGCCCAATGTATAGGAGCATACGCAAAACACTGAGGAATGTATACGTAGGAACATATCTAACACACCAGGGATTTGAACTACTCCTGTTGCCTTCTGAGGCCTCCTGCTCCTGGGGCATCGTGGAAGCTTCTGGGGCCTTCCCGGGGCCTCCTGGTGCCTCCTGGCGCTTCCTGCTGCCTCCTGTGACCTCCTGTTGCCTGCTGGGGCCTCCTGGTGCTTCCTGTGGCCTCCTGGACCCTCTTGGGGCCTCCAGGAGCCTCCTGGGGCCTCTTGTGGCCTCCTGTGGCGTCCTGGTACCTCTTGGTACGTCATGTGGTTTCCTGGAACCTCCTCGAGCCCGCTGGAGGCTCCTGTGGCACCCTGAAGAGTTTCAGTGCCCATGAGTCTGGCCAGCAAAATCAGCAAACCGCTCGAGACATCCTCAAAAGATGTGCCCACCCTGGGGGCGACAATGAGCGCCTCGCTCGAGACAGCCTCCAAATCTGCTCCGAAAGCGGATGATGTCGGGTCTTGAGAAAGGCAAACCGCTCGAGACATCCTCGCCATTTT